ATTTCTTCATGTTTTAGTCTTGGTAGGTTGTATATTTCTTGGAACTTATCTATTCCTTCTAGGTTGTCCAGTTTGTTGATGTATACTACTTGTTTACAATAGTCTCTTATGATCCTTTGTATTTCTGTGGTATCAATTGTAATTTATCTTTGATTTCTGATTTTGAACCATCTCTTTTTCTTGGTGAATCTAGCTAAAAGTTTGTAAATTTTGATTATCTTCAAAAAGAAAAAAGCTTTTAGTTTCATTGATCTTTTCTACTTTTAAAGAATTTGTGAGGTATAATTGACATACAACATTATGTTAGTTTCAGATGTACAATACAATGATTTGGTATTTGTATGTATTGTGATAAGCAACATAAGTCTAGTTAACATCCATCGCCATACATAATAACAGGATATTTTTTCTTGTGATGAGAAGTTTTAAGATATATTCTCTCAGCAATTTTCAAATATGCAATAAAATATTATAGTCACCAAGCTGTACATTGCATCCCCATGACTTATTTATTTTACACTAGAGGTTTGTACCTTTTGACCCCACTTCATCCATTTTACCCACACCTACCCACTACCTCTGGCAACCACTAATTAATTCTCTGTATCTATGAGCTTGTTTTTTCCCTTAATATTTCACATGTAAGTGTGATCATATGTATTTGTCTTTCTCTGACTTATTTAATTTAGCATAATGTGTTCAAGGTCCACCCATGTTGTTGCAAGTGGCAAGATTACATTCCTTTTTATTGCTGAATAGTATTTGTGTGTGTGTGTGTGTGTGTGTGTGTGTGTGTGTGACATTCTTTATCCATTCATCCACTAAAGGACACTTAAAGTTGTTTCCATGTTTTGGCTATTGTAAATAATGCTGCAGTGGACTTGGCGTGTATCTTCTTGAGTGCTTTCACTTTTTTTGGATAAATACCTAGAAATGAAATTGCTGAATCATATGATAGTTCTTTTTTGTTTGTTTGTTTGTTTTAATATGCAAGTTACTTAGCATTTTATTTATTAATTTATTTTTGTTACAGATGTTTTTCCTTTTTCCCCTCTAGATACCCTCCTCCCCATCCCGCCCCCCACTCCACCAGCATTGTTGTTTATGTCCATTTGTTATGAACACATGCATATAAGTTCTTTGGTTCATCTCATCCATACTCCCCACCCCCCTCCTCTGAGGTTTATCAGTCTGAACTATACTCCTTTCTATGTATCTGGGTCTATTTCATTCATCAGCCCACCTTGTTAATTATATTCCACAAATAAGTGAGATCCTGTGGTATTTGTCTTTCTCTGATTGGCTTATTTTGCTTAGCATAATACTCTCGAGGTCCCTCCATGTTGTCTCAAAGGATAAGAGATCTTTCTTCCTTACGGCTGCATAGCATTCCACTGTATATATCTACCACAGCTTTGTAATTTTAATTTTTGAGGAGACTTCATACTGTTTTCCCTAAGGACTACACCAGCTTAGATTTCCATCAACAGTGCACAAAGTTTCCCTTGTCTCCATATCCTTGCCAACATTTATCCCTTGTCTTTTGATAATAGCCATTCCAACAAGTGTGAGGTGATATTTCATTGTGGTTTTAATTTGCATTTTCCTGATGATTAATGATGAACTTCTTTTCATGTACCTGCCAGCCATATGTATGTCATCTTTGGGAAAAAAATTATATTAAAATCCTTCATATTTTACCATTGTGTTATATGAGTTTTAAAAATATGTTTTGGATATTAACCTCTTATCAGATATATGATTTCCAAATATTTTCTCCCATTCAGTAGATTGCCTTTTCATTTTGTTGATATTTTTTCTGTGCACAAACCTTTAGTTTGATGTAGTCTCATTTGTTTATTTTTGCTTTTGTTTCTTGTGCTTTTGGTGTTAAATCCAAAAAAATTGTCACCAAGACCAATGTCAAGGGCCTTACCCTCTGTTTTCTTCTAGGAGTTCTATGGTTTTAGGTCTTACATTCAAATCTTTAATTCATTTTGAGGTGATTTTTGTGTATGGTATGAGATAATAATCCAGTTTTATTGTTTTGCATGTGACTGCCCACTTTTCCCAGCACCTTTAATTGAAAAGACTGTTTTTCCCAATTGTATATTCAAAACTACTTTGTATTTGTGTAAATTAATTGTCCATACCTGTATGTGCTTGTTTCTGGACTCTCTATTCTGCTCTATTGCTCTATTGTCTGTTTTATGTCAGTACCTTACAGGTTTGATTATGATGGCTTTGTAATGCATTTGAATTCAGGAAGCATTAACCCTTCAGCTTTGTTGTTCTTTCCTAAGATTGCTTTGACTATGTTGGGTCTTTTGTGGTTCCACACAATTTTTAGGGTTGTTTGTTCTATTTCTGTGAAAAAGGTTATTGGAGTTTTGAGGGATTGCATTGCATCTGTAGATTGCTTTGGGTAATATGGACTTTTAAACAATATTCTTCTAGTCCCTGAGCACAGACTACATTTCTATTTCTTTGTAGTTTCTTCAATTTCTTTCATCAGTGTCTTACAGTTTTTTGTGTACAGGTTTTTCACCTCCTTAAATTTATTCCTAGGTATTTTATTCTTTTGTATCCTTCAACTTTACTGAATTTGTTTATTAGTTCCAACAGTATTTTGGTGGAGTATTTAGGATTTTCTATATATAATATCGTCATCTGCAAATTCTGACAGTTTTACTTCTTCCCTTCCAATTAGGATGTCTTTTATTTCTTTTTCTTGCCTAACCGCTCTGGCTAGGACTTCTCTACTATATCAAATAGAAGTGGTGAGAGTGGTATATTTTTATATATCCTCCAATGAGGTAAATTAACAAAAACAACTATATATTGTTGTTGTTAAACCTCACCAGAGGATATTTTTTTCATTGATTTTTAGATAGAGTGGAAGGGAGAAAGGGAGGGAGGGGAGGAGAAAGAGAGAGAGAGAGAAACATACATCAGTGTGAGAGAGACACATTGATTGGTTGTCTTCCACATGACCCCCTCCCCCCAGGTGCCAGGGATAGAACCTGCAACTCTTTGGTCTTTGAGCTGACTCTCTAACCACTGAGCAAAACCAGCCAGGGCTGTTTTATATATTTTTTGTTAAGTTTTCTAGTTATTCCTACTATGAGAATAATTGTCACATTTCTTCTCTAATATGACCCAGAACAGAGGCATATGCCCACACTTGTGTGCTTGCGCTCTCTCTCTCTCTCTTTCTCTCCTTTTCCTTTCTTTTTATTTTATTTTTGGTACATGCCCCTAGTTGCTGGGCCTAACGGGAACTGAACCCGGGACTCTCTGGTCTGCAGGCTGACGCTCCAACTGCTGAGCCAAACTGGCCAGGGCTTTTCCTTTCCTTTTAAAAACAAATATTAATTTTTTCCTGGCCAGTGTGACTAAGTTGGTTGGAGCATCATCTCATGCACTGAAGAGTCACGGGTTCGATTCCCCATCACGACAGATACCCAGGTTGCGGGTTCGATCCCTGGTCAGGGTGTATACTGGAGGCAACCTATCAATATTTCTCTCTTATATTGATGTTTCTTTCTCTCTCCCTTCCTCTCTTTCTAAAATTAAAAAATATATATTAATTCTTCCTTTTAGCATTGTTATACACACATGAAGTATTGTCAATTAATACATTAGATGCCATGCATTGCCTATATTTTATGTTTGTTTTCCTACAATGCTGACTGCAAGATATGTACATGTTCATGTTGACTTATGGACTTCACTTTAAAGAATTAGATAGGTAAATTAAGGTCTCTCAATGAAGATTCTTATGGTGGGGTGCCAGCCCATACCCCAGATGCCTCAGTACTTCCCAAGCAGATAGGTCAATTTCTGTAAAGATAGTTATGTAGAAATTAGTTCTTCGATTTCAGTCTAAGTTAGTGAAGGTGGCTGTGTATGTGTAGAGATGGGAATGTTGGGAGCACCCAACTGGTTCAGGCATTCCTTTACAATCCTTAAATTTATTTTGCCAAATAATATTGAACATTCCATTCTCTGCTCCATACTTGCCCACTCTGTGCTTAGAGTCTCCTAGGAACTCTACCAAGAAGACCATATTCATCTTTTTATAGCCTTCTCCTGGGAGTATTCTGGGCTACAATTTTCTTGGTCTGGTTTATCCATTAATACAATTGCATCTTCTGTCTTCTAGAAATACATTCCTATTACTGTTTGCTCATAGCTATCTATCCCATTGTCACCTTTTCTAATGATTTATTCCCTTTCATTCCTCTACACTACCATTTCCATGGAGTTTGGGGAGAGTTGGGAAGTTGAACACATATGTCCATGCCATAATTTTGAATTAGATGCCTCTTGGGAAAATGTTATGACAAATCTTGTGACAATCACTTATGTTATTAAAAATTTCAATTAACTTTTTAGTGAATAATAATAGTAATAAAACCTTACCCCATCTCCAAGGCTTAATTTCTATTGCAAGAATAAATAACAGTATGAATGCAAATTGCTTAGAAATGAACCAAAGCCAAGGAATGATTCAGATTATTTGAGCACCATTTGGTGGATGTATGACTCTGTGTATTATGTTGCTTGAGATGCTTTAAAAAGTCAACTTTAGCCTGGCCGGTGTGGCTCACTGATTGAGCATTGACCCATGCATCAAGAGGTCGCCAGTTTGATTCCCAATCAGGACACATGCCCAGTTTGTGGGTCTGGTCCCCAGTGAGGGGCATGCAGGAGGCAGCCAGTCAATGTTCTCTCTCAACGACATTTCTCTCTCACTCTCTCTCTCTCTCCCTCCCTCCCTCTCTCTCTCAAATTAAAAACAAAAATAATACACAAAGAAAAAATATTTTTAAAAAGTCAACTTTAAAAAATGCTTGAACTCCATAGACAAAAGTAACATCGCAGACTAAGAATTATACTTTTGCTTCATGATTAAATTTGATTATATACCTATAGTAAAGTAGACAAATTAGAGTTTATTGTTATATTTGTGGCTGACTTTTCTATTTTTCTCATAGGTACAAGAGTAAACCTGCTGATGATTATGAAGATCCCAAAGATGTTCAAGCCATCAAAGAGGCTCAGTTGTATATGGGAGACTTCAATCTGAAGACAGCCCCAGACTATAAGATACCCGAGCACATGAGAATAAATGCTGCCAAGAAAGAGGAAGAACTGGGACAGCTAGACTCTATGGTACTTACTCACAGCTTGTAAGACAGTGAGAGGCACCTGGGTTTTTTTTTATTTTTATTTTTTTATCCTCACCGGAGGACATTTTTCAATTTTTTGCTCAGGTAGAGTGGGAGGGAGAGAGAGGAACAGAGAGAGAGAGAGAGAGAGAAACATCGACGTGAAAGGGACACATCGAGTGGCTGCCACCCGCACAACCGACCAGGGCCGGGGACAAACTGCAACCGAGGTACGCGCCCTTAGCGGGAACCGAACCCGGGTCTCTCAGGACCGCAGGCCGACGCTCTAACCGCTGAGCCAAACCAGCCAGGGCGGCACCTGGGTTTTTAATTCAATTTTGCTAAAACCACCCATTTCACTATCAAGTCCATAACAATCTACAGTCATAGAAATTTAGAACTGGAAAAGAACTTCATGTTCATATAGGCCTCAGTGCCCTCATTTGTAGAAAGGGGGCATTTTTCTAGATGATCATGAAAAATATTGTTGGGATTTTTTTTTTTTTTAATTACTGACTTAATCTTCTCACTGGTAATTGGTCTACTCAGATTTTCTACTTCTTCATGGTTCATACTTGGAAGAGTGTATGCATGTGTCTAGGAATGTATCCATTTCTTCTTGGTTGTCCAATTTGTTGGTGTGTAATTGTTAATAGTTTCTTATTAATAGCAATTCTGTGGTATCAGTTGTAACTTCTGTTTTATTTCCTATTTTTTCTTGGTGAGTCTAGCTAAAGATTTGTCAATTTTGTTTTTCTTTTAAAAAATCCAGCTCTTAGTTTCTTTGATTTTTTTCTATTGTTTTATGGTCTCTATTTTATTTAATTCTACTCTGATCTTTATGAACTTCCCTCTTCGAACATTTTTTTCTGCATCCCATACACTTTGAAATGTTGTATTTCCATTTTCATTTGTGTCCATGTATTTTTTGATTTCCTCATTGATTTTTTCATTGACCTATTGGTTGTTGAATAATCTTACTTAATCTCCACATATTTGTGATTTTTTTCAGTTTTCTTATTACATTTGATTTCTAGTTTTGTGCCATTGTAGTAGGAAAAGATGCTTGATGAGATATGAATCTTCTTAAATTATGGAGACTTGTTTTGTGGCCTAATGTGATATATGCTGCACATAGAATATTGTGCACTTGAAACGAATGTATATTTTATTTTATTTTTTTTTATTTTTATTTTTTATCCTCACCCGAGGACATTTTTCCATTTTTTGTTCAGATAGAGCGGGAGGGAGAGAGAGAGAGAGAAACATCGATGTGAAAGGGACACATCGAGTGGCTGCCACCCGCATGACCAACCAGGGCCGGGGACAAACTGCAACCGAGGTACGTGCCCTTAGCGGGAACCGAACCCGGGTCTCTCTGTACCGCAGGCCAACGCTCCAACCGCTGAGCCAAACCGGCCAGGGCACAAATGTATATTTTAATGCATTTGGATAGAATGTTCTGTATATATCTGTTAAGTATATTTGGCCTAATGTATTTTTTTAAAGTTGATGTTTCTTACTGAGTTATCTATCTATTGATGGAAGTGGGGTATTAAAATCTCTTACTATCATTGCATGCTGTCATTTTCTCCTTTTAAGTCTGTTAACAGTTGCTTTATATATTTTGGTGCTTCTACATTGGGTGAATGAGTTTTACAAATGTTATATCCTCTTGTTGAACTGACCCCTTTTGTCATTATGCAATGTCTTTATTTGTCTTTTATTATAGTTTTTGTTTCAAAGTGTGTTTTGTCTGATATAAGTATAACTACACTAGCTTTCTTTTTATTTTTATTTGTATGGAATATCTATATCCATCTCTTCACTTTCAATCTGTGTGAGTTATTAGAACTGAAGTGAGTCTCTTGTAGGAAGTGTATAGATGAATCTTGTTTTGTTTTTTTTTATATCCATTCAGCCACTCTGTTTCTTTTTGATTGGGGGATTTAGTCCATTTACATTTAAAGTAATTATTGATAGGTATGACTTATGACTTCTTTTAATTGTTTTCTGGCTGGTTTTGTAGTTCTGTTGTTCTCTTCCTTTGTGGTTTGATGACTTTCCTTAGTGTTATGTTTAGATTTCTTTCTCATTATCTTTTGTTTACACACACACACACACACACACACACACACACACACACACAGTCATTCTGTTTTAAGTTGATAGCTATTTAAGTTTGAATGCATTTTATAAGTGATCAATGCACTACCTATATTTGACTCTACCATTGAGCTTTATACTTTCATGTTTTCTTTCTTTCTTTCTTTCTTTCTTTCTTTCTTTCTTTCTTTCTTTCTTTCTTTCTTTCTTTCTTTCTTCCTTCCTTCCTTCCTTCCTTCCTTCCTTCCTTCCTTCCTTCCTTCCTTCCTTCCTTCCTTTCTTCCTCCCTCCCTCCCTCCCTCCTTCCCTCCTTCCCTCCTTCCCTCCTTCTTTCCCTCCCTTTCCCCCCTCTCTTTCTTTCTTCGTTTTCAATCCTTGCCTGAGGATATTTTTCCATTGATTTTCAAATAGAGTGGGAGGGAGGGGGATAGAAGACAGAGAGAGAGAGAGAAGGAGAGAGAGAGAAAAAAACATGAATGTGAGAGACACACATTGATTGGTTGCCTCTCACACGACCCCAATCAGGGCTGGGAATGGAATCACAACCAAGGTACATGCCTTGTCTGGAATCAAACCCATGTCTCTTTGGTCTGCGGGCAGTCACTCTAACAGCTGAGCCACACCAGCCAGGGTTCACAGGTTTTCTTATTACTGGATAATGCCTTTGCTTTTCAGCTTAAAGAAGTCCCATTAACATGTCTGACAAAGCCACTTTAATGGGGATGAACTCATTGCTCATTTAGGAAATTGTTTATTTCTCCCTTTATTCTGAATGATAACCTTTCTGGGTAGAGTAGTAATTGGAAGTTTTTTCTTTCAGCACTTTGAATGTGTCATGCCACCCACTTCTTGGTCAGTTGCTGAGAAATCATCTGATAGTCTTTTGGGAGTTTCCTTGTACATAATGAAGTTTTTTTTTCCCCTGTTACTTTTATAATCTGTTCATTTATCTTAATTGTAATGTATCTTGTTGTGGATCTCTTTGGGTTCATCTTTTTTGAATTCTCTGTGCTTCCTGGACCTGGATATCTGCTTCCTTCCCCAGGTTAGGGAAGATTCTGGCCATTTTTTCTTCAAATAAGTTTTCTGCACCATTCTTTCTCGGATTTCCATAATGTTAATGTTATTCCACTTGGTGTTGTCCCATTGTCCCTTAAACTATCTTCACTTTTTAAAATCCTTTGTTTTCTGGCTCTGTTTGAGTGAGTCCTACTGCCTTGTCTTGCAGTCAATCATTTGTTTTTCTGCTTCACGTAGTTTGTTATTGAATCCTTCTAGTGTGTTTTTCCATCTAAGTTATTGTATTCTTCAGCTCTGTGACTTCTGTATGGTATTCTCTTATATTTTTTATCTCTTTGTTGAAGTTCTCACTTTGTTCATTCACTTTCTCCCAGGTTCAGTGAGTATCTTTATGTCCATTACTTTTAACTCATTATCAGGTAAGTTACTTATCTATATTTCATAAAGGTTTTCTTTCTTGGGCTTAACTTGTTTTTTCATTTGGAACATATTCTTCCTCATTTAGCTTGTCTCTCTGTGTTTGTTTCTGTGTATTAGGCAAAACAACTACCTCTCCCAGTCTCAAAGGATTGGCTTTATATAAGCAATGTACCTTGTGTTCTACCTTGCTCTACCTCTTTCTTATCTCTCAAACCTTTGTGATTTTCTAAGCAGCCTGATTTATTCTTGATAGGTCCCAGTTATTGAGGGTATGCCAAGCCCTGTCAGTGTTCCAGAGGAAGAATCACAGAACATTCAGGAGCACCTTTTAAAGTATGCAAATATATGTAGTCCTGTGAGACTGCAGTCATGACCCCTGCTGGCCTCCAAATCAGGCTACTTAAAGGTGTCCCCTTGGTAATATTTGCACAAATCAGGGCTCCAGATGAGTGTGTAAGCTCCTTTCTGGGAGGAACCAATGAGCTGTAGTGAGGTCAAGAGAGAGCACAAAGATGATGTCCCCTGATAGCTCCTTCATGGCCTCTAATGTGTGGTAAACCTAAAGCCTGCCCTTTAGGCTCATAATCCAAGACAAGTAAATAGGCCTTTTCCATATGAAGACTGGGGAGGTGTTTCAATCAGCTATCTGTGCAGAACTGTGGTGGGGGCGGGGGTTAACTTGCCAAGAACTGCTTCTCTGAATGTTTCAGTCCTATGGGGCCTAACAACACAGTCCTTGTAGCCACCATAGCCAGGCGCTCAAGGGGTGTCCCCTGTGTGGATCACATTCATCTGATCTCAGTGGGCCTACAGAAGGGTGTGTGAGTGAGTCTGCTGGCTGCAGCTGGCTGTGGGAGGATGTGGTGACAGGGCAAGCCTGCTGATGGGGTGGGACAAGCCTGTAAGTGCTAGAAGGTAGAGGGAGCACAAATATGACACTGCCAGCACCAGTGCCAGTAAAGTGTACTAAGAGTACAAAAATGGTACTCACCAGCACTTTCATCCTTAGAGAAAGTCCCAGTAGTCATTTTAATATTGGCTAATGAATCTCCTTTACATATGGTCTAGATACTTTTTCAACAGCTGCATTTGTGCTGGATCCAGGTGAGTGAGTCTGCATGTGAGTCCTTTAAAAACTAACTTTCCTTTCTCCACAGACTTTTGAGTCTCCTGGTCATAAACTCCACTGGCTTTCAAAGTCAGATTTTTTTTTTTTGGGGGGGGGGGGTGTTGTATCTCTGGTGCAAGTCCCAAGAGTTATGGTATCTGATGTGGGGCACAAATTCCTTGCTTCTTATGGAATCGCTTCATGTTTGTGAGATTTCTTTCTGTTGTGGGTCTTTGTGCTGGAATGGTTTTGGTGAGACCACATTTCTGCTTCTCCTATCCATCTCGATATGGCCCTTTTATCCTTTGTTGTGGAGGAGCTAGCTGTTCAACTATTTTAAGGTCTTTTTCAGAGGGAATTGATCCGTAGGGATGGTGTGTCCACAGGAGGAGGTGAATTAGGATCTTCCTACACTGCCATCTTGAACCCATCCCCCCACCATTGAGCATTTTATTAGTGACCATTTGGGTTGCTTTTCTGTTCATCTGAGGTAGTTCTTGTTTCATCTTTCATGTTACATTTGTCATCATAGAACATATTCTTTTGACCACAATTTTCCAGTCATCCAACCTGAAATGTCAGTCTAACTAGAGATGATGGATGTTTTAAACTGAATTGCATTACACCAAAATCCACTTTATTAAAGTGGAAGCATAACAGAATGTAGAGCATGCTATTCTACAAGTCAGAAGATTGGAGTTCTGTTGTCATCTCTAACACTTCATAGCTTTGTAAACTTTGTTAGTCTTGTAAATACCCCTAAGTTATATTGTTTGTAAAAAAGGTATTAATTCCAATGAACAACAGTAAGACATGTCTAGTGTAACTCATAGGGTTGATGTAAAGGTCAAAGTCAATAAATGGTCATTCTTGTCATGGTTAAATTAAAAATCATTGAAAAGTATTAAATATTTTAAAAATAGTTTATTATACATCCCTTCTCCCCCTGGCCAGTGTTTAGATGTGTGCATATTTGAAAAAGTAGAAAGAAAGGGTTGATGTATGAAGAGGGCTCCTTTAAGAGGTAGCCTTAAGCTACTAGACTGGTTTGGGTTTCATCTTTTAAGCTCAATTCTCAGTCCTGTAGGTGCTTCAGAAGTGATCCTCCATTCACCCAAATGCTGGATTTTGAGTTTAAGCCTTAATGCTTTAAAGGTGTGTTCTTGAGTATGTAAAACATTGCTTCTATTTTGTTACATAGATAGTAAACATACAAGTTTAAGTTTTCTGTGCCTTTTGATCTTTTATTTTTGTAATCTGTGTATTTATGCAAAGTAACTCTTAACAATCTTTGGACCATCTAGTTGCTTTAACTGCTCACAGGAGCAGGGTTGCATGGACCCATAGGTTCTGGTAAGGGTATGAAGGAGACATGGGTCTGTATGACACCTGTGGGTAGAGGCAGGGGGCACAACTTGGCTTAGATAAATGGAGAAGGAAATAAAGAAGAGTCCTGGGACCTCTTGGTGTGATATGATACTGAAATTTAGGGTCATTACTTTGCCTGCACAAGGAGTAACAGTAATATGTGGCCAAAATATAGAATGCAAATAGGCTTAATTATAGTTTGGCCCTAGGTAGGCAATCCTGAGTGAGTGTAAGACAATGATATTTGACTTTCCATCAGAAAAGGACAGTTACTTGTGTGTTTCTGGGCAAAGAATGACCCTCTCCTCCCTGGGACCTGGCTGAGTGCAATCCTTCAGGAAGGACTTCCAGTGAGTAGTGGGAGGGGAGGACAGGGGAACTCAGCCCTATGAGCCAGCTGAGGGATACCACAGGTTGTATCCAAACTATCTCCCCCTTTCAGAAAGGCGAAATGAGGAAAAGCCTAAATGCTAGAGAAAGGAGTAATTTAGAAGTGAACAGGAATGGTCAGATACATTTTTATCTTGAATTTTTGTTAGGCATACCAGTCAGGGGCCAAAAGCAAATCATATTTGAAACTGTCCTTTGTGAGTGGGTTATCATTTTGCTTCCTTTCTGTTCTTTTTATCAGACCCACTCAAAGAAAATGCACTTTAATAAGTCCATCCTCTCTCTTCGAGACCTGAAAGTGGCTGTCATCGAGGAGATACAGTGCCTGGTGCAAGAGCTGAAGAGCATTCAGGCAATTCTTCATGAGTCCAAGCACATCCCCATTCCTGAAATCCCTCAGATGTACCCGGAGGAAGTTCCTGAAAAGAGATTTTACTATGACGAAGACACTCTCTTTGCGTTTAAGCATAAGCATAAGGAAAATGAGTCCGAAAAGGCCCCTCAAACAGAACAGACAGGGTCTATATCCTTCAGTGGAGGATTCCTTAAATTGTCTTCTGGAAAGGACGGGGATATGACAACACGAGGTTCATTGTCTAAATCAGCAAGGGCATCGACATTTGGTCTAGATATTCCAAAATTCTTGGAATTTGAAAAAGCAGATCCAACTGATGTAGAGCTGGAGATTATGAAGAGAAATGAGATTAAGCACATGTACATGCAGCAGTATTTGGCCAACAGGGTAAGGGGTGAGACTGTGCCTATTTAAAGCTGAAAGGGAATGGAGCAGGGAAGTTGATCTAATTTCTTATTTATTTATTTAATTTTTTTTTCTACATTAACCTTCCCCAAACCCTGAGCAGCCCACAACTCACCAATGGCTTGGCTTCCTCCCCACCCCTGGTTTTCTGAAAATCATTGTGCTCTGCCCAGAACTTTGTACCTTTGTAACATCTTCCTTTTTGGAAAGCTAACTAAGCATTAGGGGCAAATCCATGTTAATTGGCATCTAACTGAAGCCATGGTGAAGGGGAAGTGATGGAGCAGCTTTCACGTAAAGCATGGACTATAATAAAAACCTTCCAGAGAAAATGGGCCACCCTCTGCTTTTTATACTCTCCCCTTTCTCTAATTTGTGATTTGCTCCAACAGTGGAGTGTTCATGTTGATGAATGACTTCAAAATTGCTCTGTAGCTAGAATGCCAACTATTTTTATTTCTAAGAAGATCAGGACCAGACTGGGACCCGTTGTGCAGGAGGTACTCCGGATATAGAAGGAAAGGGACCTCTCCTGGATAGACAGCTCCCTGCCACCAGCCACATAGAGTCCTTTTCCTCATTGTGTCTTTTCCAGCTAAGCAGCCCTTATAGCTTTCCAACCTTATTCTTCACCCATTATCTCTACTTCATCCAGCCCAGTATTCTCACTCTTCCTGCTTCTCCCCACTTCTCTTCCCCAATTCAGTTTCATATCTGTGCTTTGTCTTTTGCTATTTCCTTCTATCTGCAATGACTTCCTTTCCAGTTCCAAACCCCTTCTAGACCTTCTGTCCACATTACATACCCTCTTCTTTTAAAACATCAGTTGCACCTATAATCAGCACATCACGTTTTGTACTTCATTTTCTTGCTGTTTTATGTGTGTGAGTTTTGTCTTGCAAATTAGGTTATGCAGTTCTTGAGGGAAGGCATAGAAACTTCTTCTGATGTCCCCACAGTGTCTCGGACAATGCCAGACATATAGTAGATATTCAGTGAAAAGTTTTGACTTTATTGACCTATTTACTTTATTAATTAAAAATATGTATTGGACATTCTATGAGCAGGGACAAAGCAAGCTAGGTATAGCAATGTACCAGTCCTCAAGTCAGACACATTCTCATTTTCATAAAGCTTGTAGGCTGTCGGGGGTAAGAGAGAATAGAACAAGTGAACCCCTTAGAAACTTGGACACCTATATGATAAGTTTCAGAATGCTCTTGTACTAAAAATATATAGCCCTGCCTCCAAAAATAATTCAAATTTGTTGAACAAACATTTTTGGGGAGCGCACTTAGTCCAAAGCCCTACATAAAGTTTAATTTTTTTCTTTTCCTTTGTTTTATTTTTTTTTATTTCATCTATTTCTTTTTTATTTTCTTAATGTGACTACTGGAAATTTTTAAATTAGCTATGTAGCTTGCATTATATTTCTATTTATTTTATTTTTGTTACAGACTTTTCTCCTTTTTTACCCCATTGACACCCTCCTTCCCATCTCCCCAGCTCCATCCTCAGCTTTGTTGTCCATGTCCATTGGTTATGCGTACATGCATATAAGTTCTGTGGTTTATCTCTTCCCTCCCCCCACCACCCCCTCTTCTGAGGGTTGTCAGTCCAATCCTTGGTTTTCTTTTGTTTGTTTTTATGCCATATGAAATGCTCCAACAATTTTACTGCCCCAAACCCACGGATCTCTTCACTTTTCTCAGCACCAATCTGGGCCCTCACTCGTTACAAGCATTTGGGAGTTGAGGCTCCCCCATCATGTACAGCCTAATGAAAGACATGCAATGGTTTGTCTTCTTCCTGCTGTATGAGTTTCCTCCGGAGTATCAGTCCTTGGGGCTCTCTCTCGATCTCTTCATCTCCTTTGGGAAGGGGTTGGGGAGAAGCTGTGCCAAAATCAGAGCAAAACTGAGGATTTAAAATCATTAGGATGTCAGATGAGTAATGTCTAGACCAGGACTTGGGAACCTGGGTTCTTATTCCAGCTCTGTGACAATTAGCTTTGATCGCAGGAAGATCACCTTTAGCCTCAACTTCTTCCTTTCTATAATAACATTGACAGGTTTCTTGTGGGTCCTTGATTATATTTATCTAATTAAAAATATTTATCGTTTGACAGATTTGAAAATTTTCAAAATAAGAAGTTGAGGGAAACATTTAGTGTGTACTGTGTGAAAGTCTATGTAGAAATACTGTGGGGATATAATGGAGGTAGATATAAACACAACCCACAAAGAGCTTATTGTCTCTGACTTAACACCATTCAGTACAGCAAAAAGGGCATTCTTGAGCAATGACTTTTTCAATGGTAGAAAAATAGTTGGAAGAACTATAGTTACTGAATTCTACCATTTAATAAATAAATAAATTTATGTAAATTTAAGACTATTGATGAATGATTTACATGACTAGACACAATCACGAACACACCATAACACAACCACACACACACTAGGCATAATAAGGGCATAATGAGAAGATGCTTTTACCTAAATGTATTAAAAAATACATTTACCTGTTCATAATTTCTAACATGTCCTCAAATCTTTTTCCACCTCAGATCAAAGAACTGATTGTCACTTTTGATGCAGAACTCCGTCTCCTGAGGCACCAGAAACTGAAACTAGATACTCAGATGAAATTATCTGACCTGAACCATGTCACATTGTTTCAAGAAATGCTTCTCCTCAAGAATTTTGAAAAACAGGAGAATATTCTTCAAGAGCGTGTTACTTCGTTAGACAAAGAGGAACAGGAGATGCAAGTATGAATGGGCAGGAAAATGCTAGCTGGTTGCACCCTTAGTTATGGAGGGAACTTGATTCTTCTTTTCTTCTTCTCAACTTAATTTCCCTTCTTGTTTAGTCTTCATCTCTTCCTTGTCTTCTGTCTGTTCTCTTTTTCCTCATTATTTAGGCTTGCTCTCTGTTTTTTCGTACCCTTGGTCAGAGAGAAGTGAGTTAGATTTCTAGTGAATTTGATCTGCTATTTTGTAAGGCAGAAGAAAATTTTCAAAAGTGAGCCATATATTTAGTCTATCCATGGATTTCCAAAGTTTATATTTTTGTTGTTACTACCTACCATGTGAAGTTGAGTTTTAATTGTATGCTATTCTTATGAATATAACTGGAAAAGAAGTTGATGAGTTTCTTAGATATGATAGCTATCTATGATAGAGTATTATATAATTAAATATTACAGGAAGTTGTTTCCCTTTTTTTGTTATATATACATGTTAAATTTAAAGAGGTAAATTATGCCATCTCTCTTTGTCCTAAAGGAAGAAAGATTCTGTTAAATAGATATTACATACAGAATGGAGACATCAATTTTTAGAAATTTCAGCTTCACTAAGATATATCTTTTTACTAGTTATTATATGTGGTGGGTAAAATTAGGTTTACAGTTGTAATACAATAAACAGTACAACAAATAATAATACAGGAATAAACTCTGTGTTACAGTACTCACAACTGTAACCCTACTTTTTCCTACTCCTGTATAGATATGAAAAAAATTTGTTTTTGAGACCACACATGCAAATATGTTAGTTGATATCCATATATCAGTAAAAATTTCAGTTTATTTAATTTAGATTTTTTTGAGGAAACTAAACAATAAAAAACTGATCATATTTGATTATGAATGTAACTTTTTTAACAAAAGAATTATAAAATTTTAATCAAGTAAATGGATGGCTCTGCAAACATCAGAAATGTAAACTTCTATTAAGAAGCTTTAAAAATGTGCGTAGCTGTAACCTTACCTTGTAATGTACATTGTTCTCTGAACCTGGTTTATTAGAAATATTTTTGTTTTTTCTTGTTCTTGTTTGTTTAGTGGAGAATCAATGAAACTCTTAAGGAGATGGAAGAGAAAAAGAATGAAATCACCAGGCTCCAGGACCAAGAGAAGGCACTCTATGCTGGCTTCCAAACAGCCATTGGAGAAAACAATAAATTTGCTAACTTCCTCATGAAGGTCCTAAAGAAGAAGATAAAGCGGGTGAAGAAAAAGGAGGTTGAAGGAGATGCTGGTTTGTATTTCTTTCTTATATATGATAATAGTTTTTTCTCATTAGCATGAAGTAAAGAAATAACAAAATTGTCTTCACTACAACATGGACAATGTAGAGGCATTGTGGGATTTAAAGAGCAGAGGTATAAACCTTTTAGGTCTCTATAGGTAAAGTATCACTTTATCTGCTTCATCAGACAGTGTTTTATATATATAAATATAAAATCAACTTGAAAATGAGAGGAAGGAAAAGAAATGTTATACAAATATTAATCAAATAAAGCAGGAATGGCTGATTAAATATCAGATAAAGTACATTTCAGAGCAAAAAAAAAATTACTGGAGACAGAAAAAGCTTGTATAATGATAAAAGTGTCAATCTACCAAGAAGACATCGCAATCATAAATGTGGATGCATAAAACAACAGAGCTGCAAGACGTGAAGCAAAAACTGATAGAAATGAAAGGAAAAATAGACAAATCCATGATTATATTTAGACACCTCAATGCCCCCCCCCCAACATTTGATAGAACAACTATACAGAAAATCAATAAGGATGTAGAAGACCTAAACAGCACCACCAACCAAAAGGATTGAATTGACATAATAGAACACTTCAACCAAAACAGCAGAATATACACACTTTGCAAGTGCTCACAGAGCATATACCAAGATAAAACATATGTTAAACTATGAACAAATCTCAACAACTATAAAAGATTGAAGTCATATAGAATGTGTGCTGTGACCACAGTGGAATCAAACTAGAAATCAGTAACAGCAAGATAACAGAAAAATCTTGGAACACTCAGACCTAAACAACATGCTTATATATAATTCACATGACCCAGAAGACATCTCAGTGTAAATTTTAAAATTACATTGACCTAAATGAACATGAAGATTTGTGGAATACAGCTAAAGCAATCTTGATAGAGAGAAATTTATAGTTCTAAATTAGAAAAGAGGACAAGTCTCAGTCCAATAATTTAAGCTCCCACCTCAAAACCTCAAAACAGAAGAGGAAAATAAACTCAAAGTGAGCAAGCAGAAGGAAGGTAACATAAAGATAAAAACAGAAGTCAATATAACTGAAAGCAGAAAACCAAAAGAAAATCATTTATATGAAGAACTGGTTTGTACTTGAGAAGCTCAGTTGATTGACAAATCTCTAGCAAGGGTAAAAAAAAATAGGAAGACAACAGACAAGGTACCAATATCAAGAATATAAGAGGTAATAATCATTACAGACCCACACTGCAGATATTATTATTATTTTTTTTTATCCTCACCCGAGGACATTTTTCCATTTTTTGTTCAGGTAGAGTGGGGGGGGGGGGGAGAGGAACAGAGAGAGAGAGAGAAACACCGATGTGAAAGGGACACATCGAGTGGCTGCCACCCGCACAACCGACCAGGGCCGGGGACAAACTGCAACCGAGGTACACGCCCTTAGCGGGAACCGAACCCGGGCCTCTCGGGACCGCAGGCCGACGCTCTAACCGCTGAGCCAAACCGGCCAGGACTCACACTGCAGATATTAAATAATAACATGGAAATACAGTGAAGGTCTCTATGCACATAAATTTGGCAACTTGGATGAAATAGACCAATTCCACAAAAATACTATCATGACTCATCCAATGTGAAATAGATAATTTCATAAATTCATAATTTGTAATTTTAGCCTTGGGCATTTTGGCTCAGAGCATCGACCTACAGAAGGGTGTTGGGTTGATTCCCAGTCAAAGGCATGTGCCTGGGTTGCAGGTTTGGTCACTGGCCCTGGTCAGAGTCATGCGGGAGGCAACCAATTGATGTGTCTCTCTCGCATTGATGTTTCTCTCTCCCTCTTCCTCTTTCCCTTCCTTTCTTCCTCCTTCCCTCCCTCCTTCCCACTCTATCTAACAAAAGATTAGCAAATCGGATCCAGCAATACATGAAAAAAATTATTATGACCAAGTGGGATTCATCCCAGAGATGCAAAAATGGTACAATATCTGCAAATCAATAAATGTAATACACCACATGAACAAAATGAAAGATAAAAACCATATAATCATATCAATGGATGCTGAAAAAGCATTCGACAAAATCCAGCACACATTTTTGTTAAAAATGCTCAGCAGTGTGGGAATAGAGGGTCATATCTCTTCATATAATAAAGACAATACATGAAAAACCTACAGCCAACATCATATTCAATGGGCAAAAGCTAAAAGCATTTCTCTTAAGAACAGGAACCAGACAGGGATGACCACTCTCGCCACTCTTACTTAATATAGTACTGGAAGTCTTAGCGACAGCTATTAGACATGAAGAAAACATAAAAGGAATCCAAATTGGAAAGGAGGAAGTGAAACTGTCATTATTTACAGATGACATGATACTGTACCTAGAAAATTTTAGACTCCATCAAAAATATACTAGATTTAATAAATGAATTTGGCAAAGTAGCAGGATACAAAATTAATGTCAAGAAATCTATGGCATTCTTATACATCCAACAACAAACTCAATGAAAGAGAAACTAAAAAAGCAACACCATTTACCATTGCAGAAAAAAGATTAAGATACTTAGGAATAAACTTAACCAAAGAAGTAAAGGACCTATTTGCACAAAACTACAGGACATTGAAAAAAGAAAGAATAAGAGATAAAAAAAAGTGGTAGCATATACCTTGTTCATGGATTGGAAGAATTAACATCATTAAAATGTCCATACTACCCAATTGCATAGATTGAATGAAATTTCCATCAAAATACCAATGACATATTTCACAGAACTAGAATAAATACTTCAAAAGTTTATATGGTACTGCCCTGGCCGGTTTGGCTCAGCGGTTAGAGCGTGGGCCTGCGGTCCGGAGAGACCCGGGTTCGGTTCCCGCTAAGGGCACGTACCTCGGTTGCAGTTTGTCCCCGGCCCTGGTTGGTCGTGCGGGTGGCAGCCACTCGATGTGTCCCTTTCACGTCGATGTTTCTCTCTCTCTCTCCCTCTCTCCCCACCTCTCTCTCCCTCCCACTCTATCTGTACAAAAATTGGAAAAATGTCCTCGGGTGAGGATAAAAAAAAACAAAAAACAAAAGTTTATATGGTACCAAAAAAGACCCCAAATAGCCACAGCAATCTTGAAAAAGAAGAACAAAGTAGGAGGAGGGATCACAATACTGAATATCATGTTATACTACAAAGCCATTGTAATCAAAACAGCCTGGTACTGGCACAAGAATAGGCATATAGATCAATGGAATAGAACAGAGAAACTGGAAATTGACCCAAGACATTATGCTCAATTAATATTTACCAAAGGTGGCAAGAGCATACAGTAGAATAAAGACAGTCTCTTCAATAAATGGTGTTGGGAAAATTGGACAGCTACATGCAAAAAATTGAAGCTAGACCACCAACTTACACCATACACAAGAATAAACTCAAAATGGATAAGAGACTTAAATGTGACCAATGGATCCATAATAATCCTAGAAGAAAATGTAGGCAACAAAATTTCTGACATCACACGTAGCAGAATTTTCACTGATACAACGCCTAAGGCAAGAGAAACAAAGGAAAAAATGAACACATGGGACTACATCAAACTAAAAAGCTTCTGCACAGCAAAACAACAAACCATCAGAATGGAAAGGGAACCCACTATAGGGGAGAACATAATTGCCAGCAATACATCAGATAAGGGGCTAATTTCCAAAATATATACAGTGGTCCCTCACTACTTCATGCTTCGACTTTTGTGACTTATAGTAAATAAAGAATCCTACCTCATGGAAATTCATTTATTGCGGCATAGTCTGAAACTGATTAACCATGATAAGAGAGGACCGACTGTACTCATACAACTCAACAAAAGGTGACAAAAAATCCAATTAAAAAATGAGCAGAGGACCTAAGTAGACACCTCTCCCAACAGGACATACAAATGGCCAAGAGACATATGAAAAAATGCTCAATGCCACTAATCCTCAGAGAGATGCAAATTAAAATGACCATGAGGTATCACCTCACAGCTGCCAGAATGGCTGCCATAAAAAAATCATCAAACAACAAGTGCTGGCGAGGGTGTAGAGAAAAGGGGACTCTAGTACACTGCTGGTGGGAATGCAGACTGGTGCAGCCACTATGGAAAACACTATGGTGTTACCTCGAAAAATTAAAAATTGAACTGCCATTTGACCCAGTGATCCCCCTTTTAGGAATATATCCTACGAAACCTGAAACACCAATCAGAAAGAATATATGTACCCCTATGTTCATAGCAGCTCTATTTACAATAGCTAAGATCTGGAAACAGCCCAAGTGTCCATCAATATATGAGTGGATAAAAAAGCTGTGGTACATACACAATGGAATACTATGCACCCATAAGAAGAAAAGATCACTTATCTTTTGAGGCGCCATAGAAGGACCTGGAGAGTATTATCCTAAGTGAAACAAACCAATCAGGGAAAGCAAATATCACATGATCTCACTTATCTGTGGAATATAATGAACAAAACAAACTGAGGAACAAAATAGACCCAGAGACATGAAAGTGGGGTACAGACTGACAAACCTCAGAAGAGGCAGATGTGGGGGGAGGGAAAAGATAAACCACAGAACTTTTACACATGTATGTGTAAACAAGGACATAGACAATAATACGGGGGTGGGGGGGGGATTGGGAGGAGGATGTAAATGGGGGGGAAAAAGAACCATCTGTAACAAAAATTAATAAATTAATTAATTTTTAAAAAAGTCAATGGAAAAGTATCCTCAGGTGAGGATTAACCAAAAACAAACAAAACATAACAAAAAGAATTTGTAACTTTAAAACTCCCTGGAAGAAATCTATTGGTCTGCATAGTTTTACTGGAGAGGTCTACCATTAAAAGAATAACTACTATTCTACACAATATCATCCAGAAAATCAAAGGGGAGAGAAAACTTCCTAATTCACATTCTAAAACCTGCAAACTTTCATTTTATGTTATGAAACTCTGTATCTCATTAATATCTTCTGTTTTATTTGACTTTCTCCAATACTGCCCTGCCAGAGAAAGGGGTGGGTGCACATTCCTTCTAGCTAGGGAGAGGTATTCAGCCTTTGCTGTTACCCAGGGGAAGGGGGATCTCCTTGCTACTGCTGCATGCAGATGGGAGTCCCAGCTCCCCCTTGTAATCTCTCCTGACAACATGTTGGGGATGGCCTTGGTACCCCTGGGCAATGGTGAAAGTCCTGGCTCTCCACCAGGGCTCTTCTGACCACCTCTGTGCCTAGTGTGAACTGTTACCGCCAGGTGAGTGGAAACCCAGGCTACCCATAGGATCTCTACAAGCATCTTCGGTGGGAAAGGAGGCTGATGATCAGCTAGCAGGAATAAAAATCCCTCCTTCCTACTTGGCCTTCTCTGACACCATCCTAGTGGGAATGTTAGTGTGCTTCATTTCAGCTTTGCCACGGGGGCTGTCTAGGTTCCCTGCCTGGCCTGTGCTGGTGTGGGTGGGAGTAGGACCGCAGGTTTTTTCCGTGGTATTTGGTTGAGGCGTTGTCTAAAAGTCTCGCTAGGCTGCCTCTTTCCTGGTCGTTTGGCTAGAGAGAAGCAAGCTGTCATTGGGCCTTTCTGTATCTGCACCTGCATCGCCAACTTATTCACCCGAGTCTGAGGTATGAGGCAAAACGAAGACCACGGGGCTCATCACAGTGCTGTTCCTCAGGTTCTGAGGTGCGTGGCCGGTCCGCCCTCTTTCCGCTTGCCAGAGTCTTCTTATGTTTGTTTTACTCGTAATGGCCAGAGCTTCTAGCTTTGTTTAGTGGAAGAAATAGGGAAAAGTAGACCTGCTTCATCCCCCTCAAGGCAGAAGTTTATGTAAGAATTTTAAGGTTTAATTTTAAACTCTGATGCTTTATTTCATAAGTTGGTACAGATCATTTAAAGTCATTTTAAGAGATATTTAAGAAATCTGCAGAGTATGAGGTTCATCTCTTTAATTTGATGTTTTTTTTTTGTTTTTTTTTATCCTCACCCGAGGATATTTTCCATTTTTTTTTTTTTGTACAGATAGAGTGGGAGGGAGAGAGAGAGGAAGGGAGAGAGAGAGAGAAACATCGACGTGAAGGGACACATCGAGTGGCTGCCACCCGCACGACCAACCAGGGCCGGGGACAAACTGCAACTGAAGTACGTGCCCTCAGCGGGAACCGAACCCGGGTCTCTCCGGACCGCAGGCCGACGCTCTAACCGCTGAGCCAAACCGGCCAGGGCTAATTTGATGTTTTATAAAACACAAATTTCCATTTGGTGATCTATGGTTCATAGATGTCCTCCAGATATTTTAAAAGAAAATGAGGTACAGGGCCTGGGTGGAGGGTGGCAGAGGGGGGCATGGGGGCATCTGTAGTACTGTCAGCAATAAACAAATTAGCCCAGAAAGAGAAAAGAAAAGAAAACGGGGCAGAGCTGGGTGGGGAAGGTCTACAATCCCTTGTTCAAAACTTCAGGGAGCACGTGTGTTTTAGTATTCAAACATTTTTTATTTTATAAAATATATTGTATATGACATTGTTAAAGAAAGTATTCATAACACTAAGAACAATAAGGCAGACTTTATTTAAGGGGGACGACTCCAATGGGATTTTGTAGAAAGGAAGAGAAATCAGCTCAGCTCTGAACACAACGACACGTGGAGATTTACAGCCAAGGAGCAGGGTGGGGGTCAGTGGGTGAAAAGTTACTGAAGGCAGGCCAAAGTGATAAGATACTATGGGTAGGGAATAAGGAATGTGGTCAGATACCAAGGGGGACTTTTGCTAAATTGACTTAGCAGGATTCTTCCTAAAACTGGACAAAATGGGCCAAGGCCCAAGGTCAAGGACTGGTCAGAAAGAGGTCTCAGAGGGGCCCGACTCAGGTATGGTTAAAGGAGAGAGTCTCGGTCAACTAAGGCCCAGCAGGGTTTGCTGCAGGTTGTCTAAACCAAACATTGCAACACTGCTGCAGCAACACGTTAACATTCACAGTAAGTGGGCTCCATTACTTCCATTCAGATAAACTGTGGCAATCTCTGCTTTTAGGGCACTGTGGTTTAGGACCTGGGCCTATAGGACCAAGTGTGTGTTAGGTGGGTCACAGCACAAGCACCTGGGCAGCTTGGGCTCAACCCTCTGTGACTCGATGGATTGAAATGAACTGCACAACCTTCTGCAGGCATTTGAGCTTGTGATCTCCATGTCTTTACCCATTTTAAACTCTTCTAAAAATATTGAGTAATTTCCTGCTTTTTCTCTGTTATTGTCCTGGTGACTAACTCATTGAAAAATACCTTATTTTTAAAACCTGGGATTTAGCGTAACACGGGGACTTCCACTTATTAGCAATGTTTTACTCTCTCCTTAGATGAAGATGAGGAGAGTGATGAGTCAAGTGAGGAAGAATCCAGTTTGGAGAGTACTGAAGATGAGTCTGGATCTGAAGATGAGGTTTTTGATGATTCTATTTGCCCAACAAGTAAGTTGGATAAAACCATGTGTTCTCTGTGAAGTGTGACTATGGATGGTCCATATCAAGAAGGTCCTTTTTTATTGTCTCATAACAGCATTTAAAGAAAGGGTGATTTAAGATATATAAAGTGTAGTCTAATGTATATTTTGAGGGGCTCTCTGGATGGTTCATTTTCTGTTTCTTTGGGTGGCCATGTACGAGTCACAAATTAATGATCTGCAGATGATCTATAGTCAATTGAGGGTCATTAATTATGCAGCAATTCTCATTTTATAGAGAAACAAAAAATTGTTATTTAAAATTTTTTTTCTTTCATGAAGGGATTCCTTTTTGACAGACCCGTTCACGTGTTCATATTTCAAATCTGTTTTGCAAGGGCAGTGTATGCCAGTTTCCTGGAGAAGCTTGGCAAGTCACAGTCCCTGTTCTCACTGATAAACCCGTCTGAAGCATCCAGACCAATATTCTTACAGTTGTAATAGGTAAATGATTCAGTAGGAAAAAAAATTCTATTTGGTCTGAAATTTATTTTTCTAATCATTTCATATAAATTATAAATACAATTTTAAAGTTTAATTCCAAATAGATTTTAAATCTTGTTTTGATTTTGAAAATAAGAGTCTTCTTAAAATCATAACATTTATGAGTGGCCGAGAGCTAAAAAAAAAATCCTGTAGTGCAGCTCGTTTATACCAGGACTCAGCGGCCCGAACAGTGTTCTCACAGCTAGTGGAACTAGGGCTAGCACGAAGATTCCTGAATATCACTGTAGTGCTCTGTTATATTTTTACATTCCTCATCTGTTACTTGGCGGATAAATGTGGCTGTTAGTGTGATATAGCAGCAATGAATGTAGAGATACTCTACTCGAATCCCATTTTGTCACTTATCAGCCATGTGACCTCTCTTACATTTAGCATCCTCACCTATAAAATGAAAGCAATAGTTTCTACCTTGCAGGACCTACGAGCCGTGAATTGGTTAATGTACACCCAGCGCCTAGCAGCTGGCTCCTAGGGCTGCTCAGAACATCGGTACTGGTATCATAGGTACTACCGTGGTTATTAATAGTTTCTACCTGGAATAATGGAACCCTAAGTAGGATGAAACCTTGCTGGAGTAGACCCACAGACGGACATTGATAGTTCTGAAACTCCACGGCCCACACTCGCAGTGTCACTACATTCCCTAGCAAACGGGGTGTTTTTCATCCTGACTGTCGTTCCAGATTGCGACGTGGGTCTGTTTGAACTGGCACTTCAGCTTCGAGAGAAAAGGCTGGATTTGGAGGAGGCCTTAGTGGAAGAAAAGAAAATTCTTGATAACCTCAGAAAGGAATATGATGCATTGTCCAGAAAAGTATGGTGCTTTGCCTTTTTCAGGTCTATTTATCTGCTCCCAACATGTGACAAGTCTCCCAGCTATAGTATTGACACTTTGTAGCAATGACATAAGGTAGGACTTCTCCCAAGAGAAGAAACATTTCAAATGTTACATCCAGATTTTTTTCCTTCCAGCATAGTGGGGCCCATTGGACTTTCTTTATCTAAATCATTGGTTCCCAAACTCTTATGATTTCATACTTCTATATGTAAAAATAATTTGTGGAGTGTGTGCCCTCACAATAAACATATGTTTATCTATAAATTGTATTTATGAACTATTATACTCATATACAGTTGACTTTTTTTAAGTTTTTTTTTTTTTTTATTGATTTTAGAGAGAGAGGAAGGGAGAAGGAGAGAGAGATAGAAGCATCGATAAGAGAGAACATCAACTGGCCACCTCCTGTATGCCCCCAATTGAGGGTTTGGCCCACAACCTGGGCATGTGCCCTGACTGGGAATCGAACCGGCAACCTCTCAGTGCATGGATCGACACTCAACCACTGAGCCACACCAGCCAGGCTACAGTTGACTCTTTTTTTTTTTTTTATCCTCACCCGAGGATATTTTTCTATTTTTTGTACAGATAGAGTGGGAGGGAGAGAGAGGAAGGGAGAGAGAGAGAGAAACATCAACGTGAAGGGACACATCGAGTGGCTGCCACCCGCACGACCAACCAGGGCCGGGGACAAACTGCAACCGAAGTACGTGCCCTTAGCGGGAACCGAACCCGGGTCTCTCTGTACCGCAGGCCGACGCTTTAACCGCTGAGCCAAACTGGCCAGGGCTACAGTTGACTCTTAAACAACATGGGTTTGAACTGCACAGGTCCACTTATAACGCAAATTTTTTTTCCCCCCAGTAAATTCTGCATCCCCAGGTTTCGCATCCATAGATTCAACCAACCATGGATTGAAAACAGTTATTTTCAGTCCGTGGTTGGGAATCTATGGATGTGGAGGGCCGACTTAAGTTATATGTGGATTTTTGACCATGCAGGGTCGGCACCCCCAACTCCTTGTGTCTTTCAACGGTCAACTGTATTTTGTATATTATGAAACATTCACAAAAAGAGAAATTTTAAAAAATAAGATAAAAGTAAATAGAAATAGAAACTCAGATATTTTCTTTCTTCACTTTGTTGACTCTGTGTGCATTTCATGTTGGAGACCAGTAAGCTGAACCTCTGGTTTGATAATATTGATTAATTTCTGCCCTATCTGCTCATTTTCACTCTTAAGCTTCTTTCCTAGCACAACATCACTTAACTTGATTCAGATCCAGAAATATTTTGATATATTACTTCTCCTCTTTTAAATAGGAAATGATGTGGGAAACTTTCAAGTTTTTTAGATGAGGATGTGCTTCAGAAATACTGTAGTTAATAGTTTTATCACTTTAAAGGTTTTTTCCTTTAATTTATTAATTTGGTTCTAATGGTAGAACCAAACAAGATTCAAACCATTCTGACAAAGACATTCCCTACTGAGAGCAGCTTTTCATGCAGAAAAGAGAGGGGAGATGAGGACATGTCTTCTGAGCTCACACTCACTAAACCTTTCCAACTCAGGGGCATAGTTAGACCATGACTTAGCAGGAAGAAAATTACATACATTTCTGGGCTGCAAACTGGGACCATCCTTTTAATCAGAGCCCAGCAAAGCAGTTCCTGCTCATGCTTCTGCTTTCTCCCAAGATGCCTCATTGACCACCTTGGGTATGTGTTTGCTGACTCTTGTTAACATGTCACTCATGGGGCTTCCCACAGGTCAAAATTGTGGGGACCAATCTGAATGCAGCAGAGGAAGCCCTGGAGGCTTATCAACGAGAGAAGCAGCAGCAGCTCAATGAAATTCTGGTTGTGGTTCCACTCAAGCTTCACCAGGTGATGCATCTAGAGAGGTTGCCCCACCCTGTCTGAGCAGAACCGCCACACCCAGGCCTTTCCAAAGAACGATTCCTGGGTCGCTAGTGGGAAGAAGAGCATTCTCCCTGTGGAGTGGCCCACCTTTAACATCAAAGTGTGTGTCTTTCTTGGTGTCCTGTTATTTAGTGTTGGAAGTTGAATCATTTTGGGTCTGGAGAACGAGGAGCCTGTGACTTAAGAACGGAATGGAATGGAATGGAATGACTTGGCGGTTGAGACTTGGATCTTGCACATATCACTTTCACACTATCTTTAAATAGACATGAACTAATAATGCCAGAATGATCTTCACTTAATTTCTGCTCATTAATGAGAAAAGTTAAGATGAAAAGAAAATATTCTTTTTCCCCCTTTTTTTGCTCATCTCAACACTCCACTTGAATTATAACATATTAAAATACAGAGAGATATATCAGTGAGAGAAAAAGCCCACCATACTATATTTTATTAGGTAAAGAGAGAATGCTGCATTTTAGAAAAATCAGCCTTACTTACTGCGCGTCTGTGTTATGTGTTGTTGAGTTAGTTCTGACTCCAGATGACCCTGTGAATGTGGGACTTCCACAGTGTCCTGTCCTCAGCAGACCTGCTCAGCACCTGTAGACTCGTGCCTATGGCTTCTTTAATGGAGTCAACCCACCTCATATTAAGTCTTCCTCTTTTCCTGCTGCCTTCCATTTTCCAAGCATTCTTTGTCTTTTCCAGAGAACGCTGCATTCTCACGATGTGCCCTAACTAGGACAGCTTCGGTTTTGTCATTTCTGCCTTCCATGATGTTCAGGTTTAATTTGCTCTGTGGAACCTGACCCAAACTGGGTCAGCTACATGTAGCAATTTGCCTAATATGCCAACCCTGAAATGTTTGTTCCAACATCGTGCAGTAGGTATTAGCCATGATATGTGTGCAAAGATTTGCTGTCCCCAGAGGGATATAATGGGGCTTACTCTCTGAAGGCAGCCTCCTGCTTGCCCCTTCCTCAGTGGTGAGAAAAATGCATTTCCAAAGACAAAGACCTAAACGGAACAGCAGGGAGCGCTTCCCTGGCGCTTTCGGGCCTGCATTTAGTTGGACCTTTGTTTTGATTGTGGTTTTGTTTTGTTTTGTTTTGTTTTTGTTAGATAGAGCATGTGGTATTTGGAGAAATACCTAGTGATCTTTCTGGAACTTTGGTCTTTTCTAATGGCTCCTTGGAACGGCTGCAAAACCGAATTGTGCAGCTCCAGGAGGAGAACTCCAAGCAGCAGAAACTGAACAGAGAGTGGCGGGAGAGGCGTAAACAGCTCATTCGAGAAAAGAGAGAGATCGCAAAATCTATAAAGAGTGAGTAACGAAGCCCACGGATTATCTAGTAATATTTATTGATACTTACAGATAAGTGATATTTATTGATAAGAGGGAACTCTCAAGTGACTGTCTCCAACTTTGCAAACAGTAAGTAATCAAAGTATCAAGAGGAAACAAGAACACTTCATCTTCCTATTTGCTCTCTTTCCTGATACCATTAAATGATAACTGTCCTATTTTAAAGGGCTAAATCTTTCATCATAGAAATGATTTCTCTGAAATATAAAAGGTTTTATGTACAGTGAAATATAGAATAATATAATAATAACCCATGTACCACTACCAAGCTTAAGAAACTGTTCTGCTGTCTCTTCCCCCAGGATCAAGTACCAGGTGAGTACACATATTATACACATATTGTGTACATGTCAACACACATATGTGAGACTGTTTTGCATACTTTTAACTGTGATACTATATTCTTCATATAATTTTACAGCTGACTTTATTAAACCAGTTTTTTTAGAGTTATCCATATTTCTACAATGATCATTCATTTTAACTGCTATTACAGCGATTGTCAACCAGTGTGCTGCAAGAATTTTCATACCTGACTAGTTGGGGCACTGACCTCTTTTCCCTTAGGTTGTCAAATAAAAAGATGACAACAGCCTGCACGACAATAGCCGTGTAGTGTGAATGAATCAAAATTATACCTATTTTTTTTTGTCAGATCGGCAAATATATAACCTATTTTTTGGTGTTCTGCAGATTTTTAGTAATTAGTTTGTGTGTGCCATGAGATAAAAAAGGTTGAAATCACTGTGCTATTAAAATATTCCATTGTAGGACTATAAAAGAACTTATTTCTTTAGTCTCCTGTTGATATTTAGGGTACTTCTAATTTTTCATGATTACAGACAGTGTTACAGTAAACATTCTTGTACGTGTGTGTGTGTGTGTGTGTGAGAGAGAGAGAGAGAGAGGGTGTATCCCAGGATGGGGTCTCCAGGTAACAGGGGATGTGTACATTTTCAGCTCTCCTGGATATTCCTTCTAAAGTGGTTGTATTGTTATAGCTCTTTCCTGGCAGTGAGTGACAGACAGTTGCCCAGGTTTCATATTCTCATCAACACTTGATACTATCGGAATTAATATTTTTGCCAATCTAGTGGATGTTAAATTGTAGTTCACTGTGGTTTTCATTTACATTTCTTTGATTCTGGTGAGGTTGACATCTTCACATCTATTTATGTTTCTTTTCTGTAACTTGCCTGTCATATCTTTTATCCACTTTTTACTTCTGTTTTGTTGTTGTTGTCTTATTAATTTTAAGGAGTTCTTTCTATATCCTTTCTTTGTCCATTAAATGCACTTCAAATCTGTTCTAGTTTGTGGCTCGGCTTTAACTTTGTTTAGTGTATCTTTTAGGGATAGAGACATTTTAAATCTTAATACAGTTAATTTTATCAATCAATAAATTGTGGTTTGTGTATGTTGTGTGTGTGTTCAAGAAATTCTTTTCTATTTTGAGGTTATAAAGATATTTTTCTATTTTATCTTTTATTAGTGTTCTTCACATTTGCATTTTCAATCCATCTGGAATTGATGTAGATAGTATAAGATGCAATGTAAAGATCATTATCTTTTAAAATATTCTTTCTAATATTTGATATATAGAATATATGTGTAAGTAATGAATTATTCCAGCTTTAATAAAAATAATATTACCAGTACTGTAGCATCTACCTTAATTCCACAGAACTGTACACTTTACAATGTATCATTTTAATCACTTTTTTGTTATGTGTATTTTGCTATAATTAAGTAATTTTTTAAAGAAAATTTGAAAAAGGAAAAAGAAATGGGAAGGAGATAGTGGTCAACTCATCCAAGGTGCTGGGCTCTGTGGAAGCCAGTGTCCACAGCTGATGGTGCTGCCTTCATGGTGGTTGGAATATAAAATAAAATAAAAAAAATACATGTTGGAGCTTCATGTTTGCCTAACACTTACTTGAGACAGAGTTTTCTCAGGTATACGCCTCGCGGTTCCAGTGTTTCTCACGTACTTGACATTTCTTTGGCTTCTGCAGCCTGTGAAGGTGGTTTGTATTTGGAAGTTACTATTCCTCAGACCAAGGAATAAACTAGTATGAAAAGGAGGAAGCTTGTTTCAGTTTGTGTAAACTCAGTTTGGGGAAATGTGTGAAGAAAATGAAGTGCAGTGTCCCCTTTTTGGAGTGTTACGAAAATGAATTAAAAAATAGTCCCTGTGGTAGGAGTTTTATTCGGCAACTCTCAGTTCTTCTCTCCCCTCCAGCCCATTTTCTGAAAGCAGGTTGTGACTCTGGTTAGAGGCTGATTTCTTCATTCCGAGTGTGAAACTAGGATAAACCCCTTTCCTGTAGCCCAGAGGAGAACAGGCTGACCAGCCACGAGAAGCGCCTCAGCTACCTTGCCACTGACCTTCCTCCACCCCCAGATCCAGCGGGGAAGAGGAGGAGCGTACAGAACATGGGAGTGAGAAGGGTTAAGTTTACTCCATTCCAAGGAGAGCACAGCTCACAGCCTTGGGGAAGGTGGGAGGTGAGTGGCCCAGAAGCTGTGATATCCCCGGTGAATGAGCAAGTCTGGTGGAGTCGGGAGAAAGGCAGAAGGCTGGCTCCACAGGGAACGGCAAGGACCACAGCCCATGTTATACTACACTGCCCAGAGAGGTCACCCCCTTCCATGGGGCTAGCTGGAGGGGAGTCAAGATTCCTACTAAGAACGGCAAAGGGGCAACTGTAGGCTAGCCACCCATGTGCAAATAATGTAACTGTTTCATTTGCATCACTGGCTTCATGGCCACTGCATTACACAAGTTGATGGTATGACTCCTCACACAAAATAGAAATAATAGGCCCTCCCTCGTTTGTGCAAAATGACAGCCTAGCCCTTTATACTATGACAGTTAAACTATAATAACACCTGAATACAATTTCTGCGCTGAAATAGATTTGTATCATGTTATATACAGGGCCTACAGGCTTCACTTGGAGATAGTCTGTGACTGAGAAAGTCTCATTACAAGATGACATTTCCTTGAGATGCTCGGAGCCCACAAATGGAATGTTGCCCGGGTGATCCAGCACTCTCTCTCTGGGGAAAGACAATAAGCAAAAGTGAAATATAGCACATGTCAGTTGGAGATAATCATTAAAAAGAAACATAACAAAGGACTGGGAAAGTCAGAGCCAAGGTCCACAGGAGGACAGGAAGAGCTCTCTGGAAAGGTGACATGCCTGATGGTCAGAGGACAGGACCTGCTGTTAGTTACACCTTCAGAATCGAGTGTTTTGGAAAGGAGTCATTCACAGGTCTCACAGCTTGCTTTCAGAAAACGGGCTGGACAGAGTGAGCCGTGCAGCTGTTTACACAGCATCCCAGACAGTGGGCACCGAGATGGGTGCGAGCCTGGAATATCTGAGATGCAAAAGAGTCCAGCGTGCATGGTAAAAATGAAGAGAAAGGTATGAGAAAGCAAGTGGGAGAGGACCAGAGTGCATGTGACAGTATGCTGGTCACACAGGCGGGCAGACCACGTAGGGCCTTGTGAAACACCACAGGGACCTAAATGCTTACTTGGAGTAAGATGGAAACTTTTGTTAAATGCCTGCTCTATTCTTAACACTGATGCCATAAAGATCAGTAATAACAGAATTATAAATGGAAGAGTTTGTAATCCAGTTGGAGTCCATTAACAGTCTGAGGAGAGGCAGAGTGTGTTGTGTACGCCGGTTGGGAATGATGAGTCTGTTTTACACAAGGTTTGGCAGTTGATGAAAAGATAATCCAGGAGTGGACATTTTAAGTGAAGAAAGTAGCAGGTGAAAAGCTATAGAGGAAGAATCAACTGGTAACAAAATCTTTTTCCATCTTCTTACAAAAGCCCTTCTGTAGAATGTTCTTGCTGGTGGTATTGCTCATTCAATGACCATGGGCGCCACTGAACACCCTGACTGTCTCCCTTTAGAAATGGAAGAGACCGTCCGTGATCTGATGTTGAGCAAGTTTGGCCGTGTGATAGACTTGGCGGCTCTCCAGACACTTTCTGTGAATACCACCCTTGAAGAACTCAAGATCAAAAAACTTCGAAAGGAGCTGCTGAACACAAAGGAAATGAAGAAATGGGAGGTAAGGATGAGAGGGCACATGACCTACTTGGTGCGATCCAGGTGGAGGCAAGAAGTCCTGGTGAGCTGTGTGTGGTTCCGGAGAAGCATCTGTGTAGCTGGAGATGCGCCTGTGAGCCCCTCCCCAATACCCCCTCCGCTGTGGGCTGCCCATCTTCTGCCGGGCTCAGCTTCCTTACCATCCACTTAGTTGGAGGGAATAGTCTACCTTGGGATGAAAGCACCGGCACTGGAGTTTGGGGTCCAGGGTGCATGTAAATATGATGTCAAAATGGCATGAAGGAGGACAGAGAGATTTCATGTGGAGGTCTACATTGATATATAAATGTTCTGACCGTGTTAGAAATGGAACGGCTATACTCTGCAGATCCTAATTGTATCATTCTATATAGTTTTTACATGCTGTTCCCATCTGGAAATTAGAAAACATCCCGAGGAACAGGTTTTGTAACAAGGTGTGGACTGTGTGGCTAGTAGGGTCTTCGAAGATGTTCATGCCTGCATGGTTCCCGGAGCCTGAGCGGAGGCAGTGCCAGGTGCCCTGGGTCAAGGACAGGAGCTGCTACCAAGATTCTATAACCTATAAGTCATTACGACTTCTCCGGCTTTCTGTCACATTTCCTCAGTAGATAGGGAAGGTGGAGGGGTTGCTGGTGCTATCTTGTCTCATCCTTTTCTATCCAAGATTTGTCACTATGCTGTGAAAAAGTAAATTTCTGAAGTGTTCATATCAATGGACTGGTCCCTGTCAGGGGAATGCTTGACATAAATGTGCAATCTAAAATAATTTGTTGGAGCAATAAGAACGAAGGAAAGCCACAAAAGCTGTCTGGCCATTCAAGGATTTGGGGGAACCTGGGCCGAGACGGGGGAAAGAGCAACAAATGAAAGTTTCCTGCTTACATTATCATTCTCTCTTTTAGTTCATGGATACCAGCACTCAGTTTCACCCTCATTTCATTCCTCAACAATGGAGTGATATCGATGTGTCTTATCTTTACCTACTTTTATCTTGGATCCTACTTACAGTCTTATCTTTTCTCAAGTCAAACTAGACCCCATGCTGTTGCTTTGGGTTGCATTTTCACACTGGCTTCCAATTATACTTTTATATGTGCCTATCACTCTGTATGCCTGATGGTTTTGATCACATCTGGACATTCATTTTTCTGTTTCCTCTCATTCACGTCATCCATTTTTCATCGCCCTGCTTTGGAAGGAAAAGATTGCTCAGGTGTGGTGGGAACTGATGATGAAGACCAAAGAACACACCAAAAAGCTTCACCAGATGAATGACTTATGTATTGAAAAGAAGAAACTTGACTCTCAGTTGAATACACTGCAGAACCAGCAGGTACGCTGCCTTTCCTCAGACTGTTGATCCAGGGGAGTTCTGTACTGGTAGCTGTTCGCAGGGACATCAGGTGATGGCATTGCAGCAAACCTGGTCTTAGACTGCTTCTCGCCCCACCTGGTCCCTGAGGACACCGAGCTGGCGCGGACCACCTTACAGCGCGCCTGAGGGACTAGCCCCCTTGTACGCCTCCTGGGGCCATGAACTTACATAAGTGCTAATCCCTGGGGTTTGCCTTGGCCCTGGAGAGGTAAGGTTATTTAGGTATAAATAAGGTTAATATCCTACCTGAATTTGGTGTCCAACATCCATTTCCAATATCTGTTTATTTTATTTGACCTAAAGTGGGCATCTTGACTTGTGGGATCTCACGTGACTGTATGAAACCACTTCTTCTTAGGGCTTTCAACTTGCCCTTGAATGTACTGAGCATAACGAGGTGCTACTGAGTGGTGGTAGGTGCTACCTGTTTAATGAGCATGCGCCCTGTTGAAGCCTTGCCCTCTGGGAACCCTCGCTCGTCTTCTAAACGGTGTCTCATCTTTGTACAGCAGATTCGGCACAGTGCCCGTTGTTTCTCTTGGCTTTTTCGTGTAAGCACCCTGGAAGTAGTCTAAGTCAGGAGCTCTCATAGTGTGGTCCCCTGAAGACACCTTAGCATCACCTGGGGAAATTGTTAGAAATAACCCAGATCTACTGACTCAGAAGCTGGGGGCTGGGTGGGCACCGCATCAGACTACATTAACAAGCCTTCCAGGGGATTCTGATGTGTGCTCAGGCTTAACATCAGTCTAAGCCCAAGTCCAAAAGAAGGAAAGAATATGATTGATTCCATGGAGAACGAATAAGAGGATTTGGGAAGCTTAGACATTAGATATGAGAGGAAGCTTAGAATCAGAATATCGAGGGTCTTTATCCACCAAAGAATTTTTGAGTGGAGAACCCAGTGTTTGAGAAGGTTGATGCTTAAATCAAATCTTCACAGAGTAAGCAGTTGGTAAACATTTGTTGACTTGATGTGCTTTGATAAGCCCAGACACATTGGAAACAGTTTGGAGGTAGGAGATCAGTTGAATGGGAAAATTAATAGTATGCATCTCTTTACAGAGTATATCTTTTTCTTTTTAATACTCACCCGAGGATATTTTTCCTTTTTTTTATTTTTTTATTTTATTTTCAGACAGAGTGGGAGGGGGAGAGAGAGAGAGAAAAAGAAACATTGATGTGAAAGAGACGCATCAGTAGTTGCCTCCCGCATGACCCTGACCAGGGCCAGGGGCCGAACTGCAACCAACATACATGCCCTTGACCAGAATTGAACCCACAACTCTTTGGTCTATGGGCTGATGCTCTAACCACTGAGTAAAATCAGCCAGGGCAACAATGTATATCTTTATGACATGTCTTTACCGTCTCTTTACATAGGATATGTCATTTAATCTTCAAAGCACTACTTCTCCAAGCTCAGAGTAGTTAAGTAACTAGCTCAAGCTCTCAGAGCTAAAGCCAGGGAAGTGAGTTTTTAAAACGAGGCCTGTCTACCTCCAAAGCTGACTCCATGGCTATTATTCTTATAACAAGCTAGGCATGAACTGGGATGTGATGGCAAGAAGCTAGTGTCAAAAGAAATTTCAAAATAAAAATAGCCAAAATTTGTTTGGATATGGTGAGGAGAAGGAGGGAAAATTAAGGTGTCTTTAAAACGACTGCTTGGAATGACTGTGAGTTGGTACATGTATTTAGCTACAAGTAACCACAAGAGCTCCACTGAAAGTAGTTTAAACAAATAGGGCTGTTTTCTGCACTGAACAAGACATCCGGAGGATATGACTTAAGGAGGTTTGACTTCATGTGTCTGTGATGTCAAGGGCCAGCATCTCGGTGATTCGGATTCTTTGACGTCTTCCTCAGTGTCGGAATGGCTGCCTCCACTCCGTGGTTCACACATACGCCAGCCTCTTCTGTGCCTTTCATTAGGAAAGCACCTGTTTTCTGCTTCTATTCACTCAGCCGCCCCTGGCCAGGAGGGAGACTGGGGGATCTCAGTGTTTAGCGTTCACAGTCCCTGAAGTGAAGGCGGGAGAGAGAAACCACTGGCTGACCATAACCTCTTCTTACTCTGATGGTTGGGAGGGTAATGGGCGAATCATGGGCTCTTGGCTTCAGGTCACCTGGTTGGAACCCTACTTCCAGTCCTTAGTAATATGGTCACTTGGGCCAGTTCATAAATCTGTCTCCGAGTCTGTAACATTGGGAAAACACCATCTGGTTCAGAGCTGTGGTGAGGATTAAATGAGGCAGCATGTATAGGCAGAGCACGTGCTGGCTGAGGGTATGTCCCTTCGTTCAGCGTGTGTTCTGTTGAGCATCTACGTAGGTAACAAGTTCGGGGGGAGGGGGGGGATGCTGGGCACAGTGGTGAGATCCAGGCACATCAGGCCTGATCTCTGAGAGGCAAGAATCTCACAGGAAGGATATCACACATTGAGGTTGAACCATAATAAACTGACACTTTGTTTAGGTTAAAAAGTATCATCAAATAGCCCTGTCCAGTTTGGCTCAGCATTTGGAGTGTTGGCCTACGGACCAGAGAGTCCCGGGCTTGGTTCCCACTAGGGGTACGTACCCCCCCCCCCAAGTGTCAAATGTCATAAATGTCAAATGGTTCAATCTGGTGATTCCAATGCCACACAATAGCTGCTGTGCTAGAACACAGGGCAGGCGATCCTAGCCTAGTCCATGGGGCAAGGGAGGCCTCTCTAATGGTGATATCTGAAGCATGAGCAGGGGGTGTTGGCTGGACAGGGGATGAAATCAGACAAAGAAATAAAGATGATTCCCTTTTTGGGAAACAAAATATGACTATGAGCTGTCTAGAAAAAGGAGGCACCTTGTCTTTTATGAGTCCAGTGATAAGCCCTCTAAAGGATGAGAGGCAGCTGGCTGAATGAGTTACCGATCTAAAGGATCTCCACCTTTTAAGAGTTGTGAGCCCAAAGGGCCACATTCCTGACGGTAGGATTTCAGTGGAAGAATGAAGGCCCCTTCAAATAAGGAGCAATGGCTGTCTAAGCCGACTATAAAGCGAGCACCCCTAACCCATTCGTAAGGACGAAGAAGATGCACATCCGAAATGATGCTTCAAGTAAGGAAATGCTTTCTGTCAACAGGGCAATGCCTTCCAGGGCCCTCGGAAAGCAGACATTGTGGCAAAAGCGAAGGTCACTGAGTTGATCCAACTCCAGGCGGAAAGGATTGTGGCCCTGAAGGAAGAGATCGCCCTTTTGCACAGGAAGGACGGCTTCGCGCTCCCACCCATCCAGCCTCCGCAGGCGAAGAGATGAGCCGGGGCCTCAAGTTTGCTTTCTTTCTCAGATCCACCCAAGATTCTGACCCAAAATTCACCAGAAGTTGTCTCCTGCAACAGTCCTGTCATTTTAAAGTGAACCTATCTAAAAGCCTAAAACCAGATCCAGTCATGGAGCACCCGACATCTGTTATGGAGCGGAGTCATTTTAGATTTGTTTGGAACTAACTGGATTGACTGTGGAGCCTCAGAAGGCTGTATCTCAAACTGGAAGAGAGCATCTTTAGCATGTGCTGTTTTAGGAAGTTTGTTTTTTTATGGTTATGTGAATTTTTAGCCATTGGCAAGAAAAGTTGTCATTGAGAGTATGGTGCCGGTCCCTTTTTTGTTGTTTCAAGCCAGTGGGCTAGAGGTGAGTTACAGCCTGGATTTCAGGGCCCCCTGGATTAGCTAAACAAAGGTGGGGAGCATGAGCCCGGCCCCACTCCTGGAAACCACCCAGGCCCTCAGCCAGGTCGTGTCTGAAGTCATGTCTCGTTTCTCTTACTTGCTCTGCTTCTCCTTTCATACCATTTGCATGCTACTTAGTCATTCATTTTATTTCTTAAAAGATTTTTAAAATACTGCTTTTCTGAAAATCACATTGCATGCATCCCGATGAGTTGTTCCAGTTTAGCTTTGGCTGGAAAAAGGATGCAACCACCCACCAGCTGGCACTCTTTCCCCTGGCCAGCAGAGGGTGCACTGGTCCTAGACGCCGGTCAGTCCTGGGGCTCTCCTAGGATCTTGCTTACAAATTCGGGACAAGAGGGAGAAGCCAGGGTCTGGCATGATGCCGCGTAAGAAGAATTAAATGTCTCAAGTGGCATTCCATCTAACTGAAATGGAGAAGACACACTGCAAGCTTCAGCCTCCAGCTAGTTCCCGGTATAAAGGTGATCCTGTGGTTGGACAGCAAGCAGTAAGTAAATGTGGGTGAATCTTTGGAAAAAAGGGAAGTGAATTTTATCAGGCACCCCATGATCATGTGTAACATAACTCTTAACTAAGTGGAGAAAATACTTGGTCTTCAACACACACTGATATAGAAAAGATAGGACCAAAGTTCTACTGTCAATCTGCTGCTCCTTGCCTACCGTACACTGTCTCCCTCTTGGGCTAAAGAGCTGCTGATGCATTCCACATTAATAAGAGCACACTGACATTCCCTGTTTACAAAGAAAGTCAGAAACATCTGCTACCTTTTTCAGATCTCCTGTCTTGACAGGAAAACATCACAAGTGGGTATTTTCTTCAGATACTCAAAAACTGACTCCTACCATCTAAGGAAAATGCTGATTCATATATGACTAAGCTGAAGGTTACAGGGAAGACTAAACATTTATTTAGAAGTTACAGTGTTTGTTTTTACAGAGCTATGTTGCCACAGATTATCAATTCTGGAAGGTTTGTTAATGCTTGTAGTACTGTACACATCTGAGTCTATTCTCACGGGCATCTTCTGGAAACGTTTCCTGTAGCACCAGATCTGGCTGTCTTCACAGGTGTCTGCAGCCTGTGAGACCCTGGCCTCTGCGTGACCCTCCCGGTCATCACGAACAGTGAGCCTGGGAGTCCTCCCTGCAGCGGCTTGGTTCCCAGCTGCCTTCCCAGCAGGGGTCCTCTTTCCTGGTTTATGCCTGTCAGGTTGTAGCTTCTTTGTTTTACCTCTCATACCTCCATGGGGAGGAGTCCCTATGTCTTTCCAGAATTATAAAACATATACATTTATTTACAAGTGCATAAATATATAAATATGGCTATTATAGAAAAATAAATACCAATTTTCTCTGTTTCTTTAAAAACGATAATATATAGTCTTTCTGGAATACTGTCTTCTGCCTAAATTATGGGGGGTGGTGTTTCAAAAGAAACGTGCACTGGTGGGCTGGGGGAGAGCTGTCTCCTGAGCTCCTGTCCTCTGTAGGTCCCCGTGGGGTGCTGGGCACACCACTCTCCTCCACCCATTTGGCAAGAGTCAGGACTGTCCACTTCTTCAACTGGTGCAAGGCCCAAGCAGCAGGGGGACCCTGAGGGAAGAGAAAATGGGAAACATTACAGTGACTGCTTCCTGGTCAGGTTGTATTTTAAAGAGCTGGTCTCTCCTAAAGGAGAGAGGGACCTACAGCCATGCCAAGGTCATTTATGCTCCTGCTAAGGTCTCAGACTTGGGCTTGGCCACCGACACAGTCCATGGTGGGGCCATGGAGACTCTCAAGCACTTGGCCTGTGCCCTGATGTTATTTCTGGTCATGATCACCCCAGTCATAGTTCATCCCCCAGATGAGGTTGTTCAGTTTTAATGATGCTGAGTCTGGCTCTAAGAGGTAAATTTCCTCTCCCAGAGACAGGGTGGAGGATGTGCATGTGGGCCCACATCCACACCATGGAGGCTCAGAGACATTGTCCAGCCTCTGCAGCATCTTGCACCCAGCCAAGTATCCACTGGCTTCCAGGACACTGGCCCAAGGAAGACAGTGAGATGGGGCTGCTGTGCACTGAGCCCCTTGGAGAAGCTCTATGAAAGCAGAGAGAATGATGATGATTGTGAGAACTTGGCTCTTTAATGATTGATGTAACCTCAGTCCTTAATTAAGAGACAAGACCCAACAAAGCAAGGTATTTGGGAGCAATTAGAGAACGCCTCTTATTATGATGAGGCATAGGAATTTATGAATGGCCTTGGGAAAGTGTCCTTTTCCTTTGAGGACAAAGCTTGCCACGTTGGAGAAGGACCCAACTGGTGATGCCCCCGTACGTCTCCTAGGCCTTAGGCAGGAAGGGGGGTGGCCAGCCACCTTTCCTTCTTCAGACTCCCGATTAAAGCTGTGGATAGCTCCTTACCAAGCACCACCTTCAACAACTTATCTCCCCCTCCTCCTGTCACTTCTGGGCTGTGGATGCTGATGTCATGTTACTTGCAGCCTCTTTAATTCCCTGCCTTGCCCCTCACACGGACCTGCATGGGAAAGAGGGTCCCACGTCACTTCCAGCCCAGGATTCTGGGGTCCACTCCTCACTCCTGACTGGCTGGCTGGAGCCGGCTGCTCCTGGGGGCGATGGCAGTCCTGGTGGGTCTGGAGCAGCTGGTGAGTTGAGTCATCAGGCAGTGTGTATAAGAAAGAGACCTCGTCTGGGTTAGCCTTGGTTCCCCTGTAGGCACAAGACCAAACAGGAGGTGAGGGATGGCGGAGTGGGCCCATATCCCCACCGCCCAGCTGCTCCCTGTCTGAGAGCACCCGAGGGGGAAAGATCTAGACAGGCAGGGGCTACTCCCCTTTGAACATCAAGAGGTGCCACGCCACTTCCACGGGTCATGCTAGTCTCTCTCCATTTTGTTCCATGCAATTCCCGAGGGTATTAGGAAATGTGGACCCAGGGGCCTCCGGGCAGAGCCAGCAGTACATGGCTGCCCTGGCCTGCCAAGTGATGGGAGGGTCCTGAGAGGCCACCTGATGCTCCAGGGCAGACAGGGCATCGTAGCTGCAAACACAACTACTCATCGGGGAAGAGTCCGGCGGAGCAGGCTGTCTGAGGACTCGCCTCTCAGGGACTAATGTGGAATTTGAGGCCTAAAGAGAAAGTGAGCCCTGGGACTGGGGAGGGAATGCGGGATGGGGAGGGGCCTAGTCACCTGGGAGTCTGGTGACGGTGGACGTCATACCCACTGCCAAGAACGGTCTGCCTCAGAAGGTTGCTGGTGTCATCCTGCTGCGCAAAGGAAAGAGTAATGAAAAGGTCGTGTCCGAGTCCAGGGAACTTTCCTGTTCATTCTTTAACAGGAGGAGCTGCTCCTGACTGAAGAAAGCCTGGGAGCAGCCCAAGCCCTCCCTCGTGCCTATTGCCCATACCCCGAGGGCTACGTTACCTGCTGAAGCTCCCCGGGGCAGTGCTGCGGAGGTTTCATGCCTGGGTAGCCCATGGCAGCTGCAGGGCAGCCCCTGTTCACATGGACCCCATTGGCACAGGCCCGTCCATTGGTGCCACTGAGGTAGGGTTGCCCGTTGGCCCGGGGGCCCGGAAGTCCTCCCAGGGGTACCATAGTGTATTGGCAGGAGGAGGACAGAAGGGCACTTCGAGGAAAACCCAGGTCTGTTGTATGTTCTGGAAGAACAGAAGGATAGAGTAAGAGCTTAGGTCAAGGAGGCCTGGGCAACTGGAAAAAGTCCCATGTGAGTCTCAGAAAACTCCTGACCACGTGGTCAAATGAGGCGGGCACTGCCCTGGAGATAAGAATATTCTGCCTCACAATACTCTTCAGGTTACCCATTTCTTCCTTGCGTCTGGACTGTTTCTGCAGTGGAGACAGGGGAGCGGAGATGCAGGGCCGAGTGTTTAGGAGAAGGAGGTGAGCCAACAGGAGCCAGTCAGGTGAGGCAAGCTGACGGGGGTGGGGCCACCGGAGGCAGAAATTAGTGGGTAACAGTCAGACTAAGGCAGGATGCGGGGAAAGCTGAGGGCAGCCTTGGGCCCCGAGAAGAGGCAGGAAAGCCTGGAGGAAAGGGGGAGGTGAGTGTGAACACACGGTCAGGGCAGCAGCTGTGGACACTGAAAGGCGCTGGAGCCAGTGAGGCCTGAGTCCTGAGGTGCAGAGAGCACGGACTCCCACTCCTTCATGCTCTCCTCCACCTGTCAGGCCCAGCTTGGGGTGTTCTCTGATTCTCTCCAGGCCCTCGAGGGACCCAGGGACTTGACCTCCAGTGCATGGGAAGCAGGTCACCTCTGATTCTGGCCTGAGGAGAGGCCTCCTTGGAGAGCTGGGGGCCCTGCTCCCCTCCCTGGCTCCTTCCCCTGGGTGCAGAGGAAGGTCACTCACTCACTTTGCTTAGACCAGGCCCTCCACAAGCAGAAGGGGATGAAGGCGACGATGATGAGGACGATGGAGCCCAGGACGACCCCGACAATCAGGTAGGGCAGGTCGCTGGAGCGTGCCACCATGGCCCCGGTGCCCACGGGCCGCTCTATGGTTTCGGGGGGTGGCGGCTGAGGTGGAGCCAG